TTAAAAAAATTAATGACCTGGATTATTTTGCGTATACTTTTTCACATCATTGTATGTAAATGATCACTGAAAATATTTAATGATTAACATTATTTACTCCATTAAAATTAAAAAAATAGAAGTACTAATTTAAATTTTACATTTGTATTGTTAGCAATTATCAATTTTTAGGTTGATAGTGGTGTACCTTTCATTTCGTTTGAGAAGGCGGGTCGGAGGTATTCGAAGATTAGCCCCGTCGGATACCGCAATAAGGTTACCTTGGGCTCTTGCCTGTTGAATTGTGCAAAAAAGACCTCGGCCCACCGTCTTACGACCCCAATGACTGTGCTGGGCTTTCGTCCGTCCTGTGACGGACATCGTCAGAGCCAGAAACCATTATTTACGAAAAATCACCAAAAAGCACTATACCAAGAAAGGTGGCCAGCTGAGATCCTACTTCTTATTCCTCACGATCTTAATCGCCTATCTTTCTTGAAAGCTTGTAGGATGGTGGCATTTTTAACCTGTCTGAAGAGCTGTCTAATAGCTTGTTTGGGCTAAAATAAGGGTTTTATTCACCCTATTTCTCAATATTTTGAAATTGTTAACAATTAATCCTTAAGGATAATTGTTCTCAACTAAGATTTGCCTAGCATTGATAACTTACATTCGATAGGCGCAAACGCCTTATTATCATTAATTTCATTACACCATTACAGCATAAGTATGGTTCGAGAAGAAATTAAGATGGAAATCAGTATTTATGGGTTTCCTATATATATATCTACTCAGTTTGCTCCCTGTTTTACTAACTATGGAATCTAAACAGTGTAATTTATCCTCTTTTTCTAACTCCGTAATGAATTTAGCCGCTTTATCTACTCTATTCATTAAACCAAGGGAGTCTTTCAATCACCTTTTGCCATGCTGCCAGATAGCAAGCTAATCAATCATATATCTGACCAATAGTTTCGGAACTAGGAGTGACTCTTAAAAAAGCCCGACTTCCAATTGATACATGTAGTTATTAGCTAAGACTGGAGACAAACACGATCCCATAGCTAACCCTCCTGTCTGTTCGTATAATTTACCATTAAAGATAAAATATGTACCATTCATTATTAAGTTCGTCAATCGCATGATTAACTCTTTGCTCATCCTATTTCTTGATATTATTTCTGGTTGTAGATCTAAGGTTAATCCTAATGCCTGTATGGTCCTAATTATCGGTACATTCGTGTAAATCGATACTACATCAAAACTTACTGGAAAATCGGGTTCTATTGTTTGCTTGTCTTTTAACCTTATAAAGCCATACGAATTAAGTATTAAAAATTTCCAAAAACCTGAGATCAACTTTAATTGGCCACGAAGGAATCGTAATGTTTTATACATCACACTACCCTCATTAAGACCGCAAACTGAGGTATAAGAAGTAAGTAGGGTTTCAGCTGGTCACCTTTCTTAATTTAGTGTTTTTTTGGGGATTTTTCGTGAATAATAGTTACTGGTTATGACGATGTCCGTCACAGGACGGGCGAAATCTCAGCACTGAGTCATCGGGCTCGTAAGACGGTGAGCCGAGGTCTTCTTCGCACAATTCAACAGGCAAAAGTCCAAGGCAACCCTCCTGCGGTATACAGTGAGGCCAATCTTTGAATCCCTTCGACCCGTCTTCTCAAACGAAATGAAAGTTACGGCGGTATCAAGCTATTAAGAGATTCTTCGAAACCCAGCTTCTCTTAATATTTGTTGGGTTCTTTCATCATTCTAGTCTATTTTGTGGCTTTCGCTGCCTATTATTTGATTACATTATACTACATGAGTTTATTTATGTACTATTAATATTTTTTATGTTGATAAAGCTTGCTTAAGGGATTTTATCTTAATCGAATTCGCAGAATTTTGCTATATTTATCATGTGTATATTCTAAGCTAAAATATCAAGATAAATTTTGTTATTTTAGTTTATTTGAATAAATTTATTATCTATTTAGAAATTGTTTTTTCCTACCATATTTAGTCTATATTAATTAATTATTTATTTTCAAATCATTATTTAAAGTTTTCATAATAACCTATTTATTGTTGAAATTATTCATAAGCTGTATCTACATGATATTTTATTTGGGACCATATTCCATATTTATAATGGTATAAACGGTAAATCACTCGTTATTACTTCGGTTGAAGCTTTTAATATGTACCTGATGACCACAGATTCGACGCTTTTTTTCTTACTTCAGACACAAGAGCTGCAGAATATGAAAGCTCAGTAAGCAAAGGCCGAGCACTAATGTGGCCGGCCTGAGAGCAGCCTCGGCTTTATTTAAAAAATATCCACTATTCTATTTTTTGCTTCATGCACACATTAAAATGGAAACGATTTCTTAACAGCTAAATATGAATAGGTCGTAGTCCTAGTCGGCACTGACTACTATTTACTAAGTACGTATTCAATACGTAGCCGTTATAATCAAACCTGGTGTTCATTGGGTTCAAGTATGCACTCTCTATTTACAGATTGTGACATATGCTATGGTTTATGTGCGACTTTTGAAAGCATTATGCAGGGTGCGGCTTTAAAGACTCAGGATAATGCAAGTCCAAAATATAAAGTGGATAGTAGTCACATTTGTGTCATTTTGAAGCTTAATTATTTTTATGTGGCATTATAGCTTC